GCGGTCACCACGCCCCTCTGAGCCTGCCTCAGACGCAGAAAGCGGAGCAAGGGCCAAGTCAAGGCCAGCAACAACACAAAATGCGGACGGGGTGAAGCAGCTTCTTGCGCACCGCAGGGTCAGCGCACAGGGCACGGCCGGACCGGTCAGGCGGCACCAGCCTGCGGCAGACAGACGGCGGCGCGAGGGACACGGACGCCTGCCCACACCCCCGGCTGCCCCAGCAGCTCACGTGTCTCCAGGCTTGTTTTGCTTCACAGGAGTGAGCAGGTCACCGGCTGGCCGCGGAGCTGCGCGAGGAGGCCCACGCACGCTGCCCCGCAGGCCACGCCCACCTCGGGAAGCCTGAGCACACCAGTGTCGCTGACGGCTCCCAGCCGCTCCCGGAGCATCGCGGCCTTCGGCCAGCCCCAGGGCGTCCAGAGCGGCTTCCGCGCCCGCAGGCCCCCCCCAGCGGCTTCCGCGCCCGCAGGCCTCCCCGTTTCCTTTCTGTTCCACTTGTTGCTGCAAAATCACCCTGCCCGCACGGGCCGGGCCACTGTCCTCCCTCCTGCTGCCCGTGGCGCCCTCCTGGGCCGCTTCCGCCCGCCGGCGGGGACCCAGTGGGTGGGGCGCCTTGGGGCCCTCGCGGGCGCTGGGCCGGGGCTTGGCCCCTCCAAACCACCGTCCCAGGAAACCTCGGCGGCCCCGGGCGCCCTGGCGGCCCCGCTGAGGCTCAGACACCAGGGCCGCGGATTTCCGCAAGTGTGGAGCCCGGAAGCCCGGAAAGGACAGAGAGCTGCCGCCGGGCAGAGTGAGCGGGAGCAGAGGCGGCGCCCGGCCCCCCCCCCGCGCCCCCGACGCCACCCGCGTCGGTGCCACGACAGCCCTGAGAGAGGGAGGCCACGGGCAGCACGTGGGCGTGGCCACGAGCCCTCCGGGCCCAGATGGCCCTGACACAGGGTGGCCGGCGGGGAGGCCCTGCTGCCCATCACCCGTCCTGGGCACATCAAGCAGATGTCTCCGAACGGCAGAGCCACAGACACACGGCAGCCACAGGACGCGGCGTCCACACTGACGGCCAGCGGGCCCACGCTGCCCAGGCTGGGGACACGTCCTCGCCGGCCGCCGCCCGCCACCTCCGCCTCTGCGGCAGGTGCTCTTTGCGGTCCTCTTTGCGGCTGCAGGCAGGATGCGCATCGGGTCCATCTATGTAATTAAATTTAATGAAATTTATGTGCAGTGCAAGCGGCTTGGGGAGCAGCCATGAGTGCCAGAGACAAGCCCAGGCCCGCTTAATCGATGGCCGCGGCACGGTCAGACTTCAGGAAACAGCGCCAGGGTCGTTCCACGGGTTTCTCTTGCTTCTGACCTAACAGAGGAAATTAGTGTCTCCGCTGCCGCCGAGAATCAAGCCGGGGCGCGGGCGCGCCCCAGCCCCACCTGCCCGCCACC